CCTGCATGAAGCGAGATCGTCGCTCTCTACCGTCCAGCCTAAGTGTTTGGAGAATTTATGAACAATCAAGAATTTAACAACAATCAATTTATCGTAATCAAGAATATCATCAAGAGGAACTCTAGTAAATAAAGAGCATACATCAAAACTGAGTAACTTAACATCAGGATTAATTTAAACCATGTTTATTTTTTAACTAATTCAATTGAATTTGTGAAGTGTGAAGATGAAATAGTTTCTAACAATGGGGACAAGATTTTGGTGAGCCATTTAGAGAGCTTGTATGAAATAGATCCCACAGAACTAATGACAGGTCCACTACAGCACCGCTCCTGTGCCAGGTAAGTTCACTATGGGCTCACCATAGCCCGTGCTACTTGCCACGCTCCTGTGCCAGGTAAGTTACGGGGTCACCATAGTCTGTGCTACTTGCCACGCTCCTGTGCCAGGTAAGTTACGGGGTCACCATAGCCCGTGCTACTTGCCATGCTCCTGTGCCAGGTAAGTTACGGGCTCACCATAGCCCGTGCTACTTGGAACTTGTTCCGAGTAGCTGAATCTATAACAACAACAACAACAATGACAGGTCTAATAGGATAGCTAGGCTTATGAGTCTTGGCAAGGTCATAGAGATACTGTAATGAAGGAGATGAGTTAGTAAATTGCTTAAGAAGATCGTTATGGTTTCTTAAAAACTTCCACAAACTACTACTGACGGACTTGATGATGTCATCAAGAGTATTTTTCCTAAGTTTGGTGCATGTGGAGGATTGGTGGAGAAGATCATTCATTTGGGTAATATATTCCACCGTGTCTAAAATAACAACAGTGCTGGATTTGTAGTTAACTTAACTAACTTAACTAGTTAACTTTACAAACTTAACTAGTTAACTTTACAAACTTAACTAGTTAACTAACTTAATTAGTTAACTGAACTAACTTAACTAGTTAAGTTAGTTAAGTGAACCTGATGTTAATTAAGTTAACCTGATAAGTGAACAAAAAGTTAATCAGTATTGATGTATGCTCTTTATTTGGTAAAGTTTCTTTTGATGATATTCTTGATGTTGAGAATTACCACGAATGTTCAGTCATTCCTTTACGTCTATGATAAACTACTTTAGGTATAGTATTTAAATGTTCTCAACCTGGGCTGAGGTGAGGGGACACAGGCCACCGTAACTGTAATTATTATAACGACTGGCAACCTAACAGGGTCCAGGACGGAGCGAAAAGTCGTCACTTTCATTTCATATATGAAATATTTCATTTCATATATGAAATGAAAGGGCTGGGTTATTTGTTTACGTTTTTGCCACTTATTTCCCTCTAAACCAACTGTCTTCACGGATAATATATCGGATTTTAACGCCAACATTCCCAACGGACAAAATGTGATGTACTAGAAATAATAGCGGCTCACAAACATTCACGTTTTCTACGCGTGGTCGCTCGGTTAGATTAGGCTCGGGTGTTGTAGTACACCATTTTCTGCCTGTTGCGGGAGCACGAGAGGACAGGTTGAATTGACATGGATTTAAAATCGAGTGTACGCGGAGGATCCACTGTTCAACTATGTTGTTTTTTTCGTAGAAGATGAACGTCAAGGCGACTTACCGAGCACTGGCCGACACAGGAGTCTAGAGCTGACTGAGAGACCTGCACTAACCGCATGTTCTTTTATAGGGAACACCGGCAAGGCTGGACATGGAAACGTGTATGCTGAATAAATTAAGTTGTTATGTCTCAAAGCTAAATTTTTCCTATCTCTCTCTCACTTGAACGCTGAAGCCATTATGTGAAGGACGTGGTGGGCAGGGAAGATGGATAACAGCCAATTTACTGCCTTCAACCAATTTACTGCCTTCTCATGAACATTAAATTCGAATTCCCTACAAGACGGTTTTGTTCTTTCTGTTTTCAATTCCGTAATAGTAAAACCATGACATCTGATAGAGGGAAAGTTTGTTGTGGTCGTTCGGGCTGTACCGTTATGATGAAATACTATTAAATCGTCCCCTGGCCGGGGAGGATTTACTGGGCGCAAATCCTTAACTATAGTCTCTGTTTAACTCAACAGTAAAATGTGTACTTGGTTGTAAAAACGATTCTTCGCGGCGGGGATCGTATTCCAGGGACCTGCCCTAAACGCTACGCGTACTAGTGGCTGTACAAGAATGTAACAACTCTTGTATATATCCAAAAAAATAAAAAAAAACAGCAGTACACTCCTGTCACGTCAGGGCCAAGTAACTCATGGGAGACTTGTAGTAACTAGTGCAACTGCTGCGAAATGTGATATGGATCTCCCTTTGACCTCTAGGGTGAAAATGCATGAAGAGAAGGAGAACGAGAGTAAGGGGAAGACGGGACGGTGAACTCCTTCACACTTTCTCAGAGCTGGATTGAAAGTCAGAAGAGTATTTCAGTCGTTCGCACCAACATGTCTCAAGTCTACTTTACCAGTCTTCAGAAGACAGACTTTAGCCTGAAGTAGTGTCATCACTCAGCCTTCAATAAGGAAGAATTAACTTAAGGACTATCGGTTAATATAGTGATAATGATCTTTTGAAGCAGTGGAGAAGCTTCAGCTTTGTCCTCGTCTTACAGAGACCAAGTGGTGAGACTGTCATAATAATACCTGGCAAGAGCTAATTGGTGTGTCTCTTGTGGCCTGGGGTTAAGCGAGACTTAACATGGTAATCAGTATCTACTTATTATTACATGTCAAACCATAGGAGTTCTAGGAGCTATTCCAATGAAAACAATAAATGGATTTTATTTATTAAATCTTGTAAAATTCTTCATTAAAAAAAAAAACTGACCGAGATACTGCAGACCAAAGCCTTAACTTTATGTCTAAATGTTTGAGTGCATATAAATTGTGATTCATAATAAAAATGTCAACCCTATATTGTCCTGAGAATCAGTAAGAATTAATAAGATGTCCACCAAACTCTGAAAGCGATCCTCTGGTTCTGTTATGTCCAGACTAAAAAAGTCTGGGATGAGGGTTTCCTGTCCGATGTTGTCAGTCCGGGAGACATTGTAATGCTATGTGATATAGTCGTTTTTACCTCATGTTTGGACATGAAGTACTTGGCCCGTGTGTGTTCACAGTAAAGGTCATGGACCCATAATGTTAGAACAAGCTCTGATTATGTTACAAGTAGAATTTCAAATTTAGTGTAAGTTTGAATATTTAAGAAAATATCAGGGTAAAATGACCATGCGCTATGAGAGACGAGCGAAGGAAAACAATAAAATAAAAGAGTTTCATTCAAGTGATCAAATGTTTGTTATAGTGAAGATCTCGGGAAACCCGTTAGTTCATAAGTATGTTTGTTCTTGTTACGTGATAGATAAATTTGGTGAAGTGACTTTTATGCCATAAGCTCCAGGTATTAAGTATTGGTGTGCTGGAAGCACACTCCATATACAGTTTCAAATATAGATTTGATAGAGCCCAGTAGGCTCAAGAATCTGTACACCAGTTGATTGACGGATGAGAGGCGGGACCAAAGAGCCAAAGCTCAACCCCCGCAAGAACACCTAGATAAGTACAACTAGGTGAGTACATAACGCATTAGGGGGGGATGTTTAGGTCTCCTCCAATACATTTTCTATATGCTTTTCTCCTACCACCCCCTTTTTTTCGTGGTGTGTTGTGCTTTATTAGATATTTAAAGGGGTACAAGATGTACATTGGTTAATACAATGGTGCTTAAAAGTAATGGATCTCTTGGAGCTCCACCACTTCCGGACAGGAACCGAGGACGCAGCAGGCGTTTCCCCTCTGGATCGCCAGGTTGAGGCGCTGAAACAAGGAACTGGCAGCCCCTTGGGTCTCTGGTGATGTCAATGATCCTGGAACCCAATTCTTTGAGAAATCCCAAGGTACTCCTACCCCAGGGGCCATGCGTTTCAGACACTGGGAACAGAGGTGTATTAACCTTCCAATCGCCTTTATTTGACTGATTTTGCTATTCCTCTGTGGTTGGCCGCCCCATCTCCCAACTCATTGTTGGGAGATGTGAAAAATGCTGTAACAAGCCATTATTTAACATGTCACCAACTAATTAACACTGTCTCACTTTCATGCAGTCACCAGGTCCAGATATCGTAATTTTTTGCTACTATACAACCTTAGAGGGCTGCAAGACAGATGTACTTAAATTCTATGTATGGTAATACCTCAATTTGGTGTGTAGCTTCCAATCACATTGTTACACCATTTGGAAGCTTAGAGACTTACTCTATCTGCTTTTGGCTTGGAGCCGTCAGTGCGAATATGGAACTCAAGGAAGATCGTTGTTGTTGATGATGCTCTTCATTCCTTGTCTGGTATTAAAATTTGCCTTTATTTGACCAGTCCACACACTAGAAAATGAAGGGACGACGACGTTTCGGTCCGTCCTGGACCATTCTCAATCGACTTGAGAATGGTCCAGGACGGACCAAAACGTCGTCGTCCCTTCACCTTCTAGTGTGTGGTCTGGTCAACTGCCTTTATTTGTATATAATCAACTACTTGTGCTCCGGTTAAATGTTGCATCAGTTTATAGCTGTGCTTAAAGTGCCAACCCAATTAACCAAAGTTTTCGAATAGATTACTGATGAGAAAAGTGTTATCAGCTTCAAAGAACGTTAACGAGCATTATTTTCTTGTGTGCGTTTGTTGGTATGTTGGCCGAGATATATTTATATACAAACATTTCTTCTATATTATGCATGATCTAGCCAGCTTTCGGCATAATTATTATTAAAGGTTTATTAAGGGCTAAAGTGCAACCCTAAACCATTGCTTCTGAAAGAGCGATTGACTCATTACTGAGGCCGCAGACCAACATGACCCCACACCCACCTGTAGTAAGTACTGAAAGGTATTGCTGATTTTTGTCATAACAGTGTGTGTGTGTTGGGGGAATTAGTGGATGAACCCCTTGCTGTGTTTGACGGGGATACGCTTCAACCTCGAGTAATGAGTATGTTAACAACAATTTTGTTAAAGTTATCTTTATTTCAGCTGACATACATCAATTTCAATTTAAAACTATAAATTAGAAGCATTTACGGTGGACGATGCCTGGGCCGGACTCGTCGTACTCCTCCTTGGTGATCCACATGGACTGGAAGGTGGACAAAGAGGCCAGGATGGAGCCACCGATCCAGACGGAGTACTTACGCTCGGGAGGAGCAATGATCTTGATCTTGATGGAGGAGGGAGCCAAGTTGGTGATTTCCTTCTGCATGCGGTCAGCAATACCAGGGTACATGGTGGTACCACCAGACATGACAATGTTAGCGAAGAGATCCTTCCTGATGTCAATATCGCACCTCATGATGGAGCTGTGGACGGTCTCGTGAACACCAGCAGATTCCATACCCAGGAAGGAAGGCTGGAAGAGAGCTTCAGGAGCACGGAAACGCTCGTTGCCGATGGTGATGACCTGACCGTCGGGGAGCTCGTAGGACTTGTCCAGTGAAGTAGATGCTGCAGCAACATTCATCTCATTTTCGAAGTCGAGGGCAATGTAGCAAAGTTTTTCTTTGATGTCGCGGACAATCTCACGCTCAGCGGTGGTGGTGAAGGAATAGCCACGTTCGGTTAAAATTTTCATCATGTATGCAGTTAAATCACGACCAGCAAGGTCAAGACGAAGGATGGCATGAGGAAGGGCGAAACCTTCATAGACGGGGACCATGTGAGAGACACCATCACCAGAGTCGCACACCAGACCTGTGGTACGACCAGAGGCGTACAGGGACAGCACAGCCTGGATGGTAACGTAAGTGGCGGGCAGGTTAAAGGACTCAAACATGATCTGTGTCATCTTCTCACGGTTGGCCTTGGGGTTGAGGGGAGCTTCAGTCAACATTGTTGGGCACTCTTCAGGGGCGATACGGAGCTCATTGTAGAAGGTGTGATACCAGATCTTCTCCATGTCGTCCCAGTTGGTGATGATGCCGTGCTCGATGGGGTACTTGAGAGTCAGGATACCTCTCTTGCTCTGGGCCTCATCACCGACGTAGGCGTCCTTCTGACCCATACCGACCATCACACCCTGATGACGAGCTCGGCCGACGATGGAGGGGAAGACGGCGCGGGGAGCGTCGTCACCGGCGAAGCCGGCCTTGACCATGCCCGAGCCATTGTCGCAGACAAGAGCCGTCGCTTCCTCGTCGTCACACATAGTTGATGTTCTCAGTCAACCCCCACCTGAAAATATTGATTTATAATAATAATAATAATAATAATATCAATCAACTGTTACTAACTACATTTTTTTTCCCACACTTGCACACGCACCCAGGAAGCAGCACGTAACAGCTGTCTAACTCCCAGATACCTATTTACTGCCAGGTAACAGAGGCATCAGGGCGAAAGAAACTCTGCCCATTTTGTTTCTGCCATCAGCCGGGATCGAACCCGGACCCTAGGATTACAAGTGCAGAGAGCTGTCCACTCAGCTATCTGGCCCCCTGTGTGTGTATGTGGCTCGAACCTAGGCAGACCTTTTTAATGCAAGAGGGTGATAAGTGCAACTTTACAGTTATTAAGTTCTTTTAAAACTTTAAACACTGTCCAGAAACACAAGGTTTCATTTTGCACATGTAGACTCATTCTAGTTACTAGTAATATATGCACTGAATATTTATTTGCTTTCCCATCCGATAACTTACCCATTATAGAACATTAACTGAAATTTGATGCAAATGAGTGCTTCCAACATTCTTGTCTACAGATACACACACCTGTATTATGGCGGACGCGTGTCTACACTATAATCGTACTGCTGGTTCACTACTTAGTTGTGAACTTAGTACTTCTCTCCTCTGAGAGGCAAATAACAAATACGAATTAAAGAAGTTTTCATTCAGGTTGATGCAAAAGGTATTGACACTTGGAGGATCGAGTAATCCACTATTTTCAAACAGATTTTGTAGCACAGATGGGAGGTACCAAACACAACTTACCCCGAGTACCTGAATCTTAGAGCAGACTAAGAGACCTGCGTCAACAACATTTTCTTTTATAGGGAACACCGGCAAGACTGAAAAAAAAGAAGTGCATGCTAGATAAATAAAGTTGGTCTACTTCAAAGGTAAATTCTTGTTCTCTTACTCACATGAAAGTTGATCCCATTTTCTACAGGGCGCGGTGGGAGTTAGATAACACTAAGAATTTATGCCGTCTCATAACAGTAAATTGTAATCCCTGACAAGAGAGTGTTGCTCCTTGGGTTTTAGCTATATAGTCGTAATGGCTTGGCGCTTATCTCTTATGATTCCTTCCTCCTCCTTGGGTTTTAGCTATATAGTCGTAATGGCTTGGCGCTTATCTCTTATGATTCCTTCCCCCTCCTTGGGTTTTAATTCTGTAATATCAAAACTATGGTGTTTGTCAGAGAGGAAAAATACATTTATGCGGATTGAATTATATCGCTATTTCCATTGTAGTTTAATGTGCTGTATTGTGCCTTGCTGCTTGTTACGTATTAAGATATATATAATAGCAGATAACCATGAAGCTTGAGGTCTACTCTCTGTGTGTCACTAGCTTAAAGAGAGAGAAAATATATATTACTGGTGCATGAAATGAACTTTATCTGACCGCAGGGCCATTCATTGACTTTAAAAAGCAGAAATAACAGTGTATTTATGTGCAAGTTGTGATTGGGAAGCTTCATTAGTGGTCTCTTGGTGAGGGGGTGTTTCTCTTCCAAACTTGTTCAGTACACTTTCTTTTTTTAAATCATTTACTTTTTGTATGAGTCAGTAAAGAAGTGTAACTATAACGAATTCAAGCGTTTATTAACTAAGCTATAAGCATAAGATAGTTGTTAGAAATATGCCTCTATGGCGTATATACCACACATTGTATGTTAGAATAGCTGAACTCTTAGACCAGGTGTGAAATACTGCGCCACTACTTACAACTACACGCGAGAGAGAAAGAGAGAGAGAGAGAGAGAGAAAGAGAGAGAGAGAGAGAGAGAGAGAGAGAGAGAGAGAGAGAGAGAGAGAGAGAGAGAGAGAGAGACAGAGAGAGAGAGAGCATCCTTTGTGTATTATCAGGAGTGTAGGTGTACAGCACTTACTCTCTGTCAGCAGCACAAAACACTCAGTGTCTTTACGACACCATCACTTAGGTGTCGCCAGAGGTTAGGGAATTAATTGTGAGCGATTTGGATTTTTTGTTTGGCGATTTGTGGGTTTTTATTAAGAGTATTTGTAGGGTTTTTTTTGTGAGGCGATTTTTAATGTTTTGCTTGGTGATTTGTAGTTTTTGTTGTTGTTGTGCGATGTGTAGTTTTCGTTGGGTGATTTATAGTGTTTTGTTGGCCAAGGTTGCTTTCATTAGCTTTATATTTTTTATTGCATATTTTTTTATTTTTTTGTTTGGGGATTTGTTGTGTTTAGTTGGGTGATATGTAGATGTTTGGTGATTTGTAGTTTTTTGTTGGGTGAAGGAGAGGTAAGGTATTGAAGAGTAGAGAAGGTGGTGAAGGAAAGGGAAGTTTGATGGGGAAATCACTGGTTCTTGGATAGTGAGGATAGTTACAGTGATCAGGATGGTCGTGCAACCCTGGGATGGTTACAGTGTTGCACGGTGTGTGAAGGTGGTTACAGTGTTGCACGGTGTGTGAAGGTGGTTACAGTGGTAATGGCTGCGAGTAGTTAAGATGTTACAGTGAGAAAAAGTGTGTAGTAAAGATTGTTAGTGATAATGGTAGTTTATAGTGAAGATGGATATAGTGATAATGTGTAGTAAAGAAGGTTACACTGATGACGATAGTTACAATGAGAAAGTGCGTAATTAAGATGTGGTCTCTGCCACCCGCGCTATGCCAGGTGTCCCCTCCAGTATATTACATATGCATAATATCTTACTACTGTAAATTTATAAGAGTAAATGTTCATACACAGAATCTCTTATCATATACTGAGGTTCATTTTAATTTATAGTGTCTGTATCTTAACGCGTTGCCTATGCATGATGGTGGCCTACTAACTGAAATATAAATTCACATGGACAACAACAACAGTATTTTCATTAGATATTAATGTAACCCATAAATTAAATACTACTAAATATTGCAGTCACTGAGAAGTGACCCGATGTCCAGTCGTAATGTTATGTACCCCTTGTGAGGCATAACTGGGTGTAATGATTCAAACACCTTCCCACTGTCAAGGTTAGGAAGGCCACAGATTGCCAGATTTGTCAACTTTAAATATCCCTTTAAATATACAATCGACATGAAAATGGTCCAGGACGGACCGAAACGTCGTCGTCTCTTCACCTTCTAGTGTGTGGTCTGGTCAACTTACTTTAGCCACGTTATTGTGACTCATCGCCTGCTTAAATATCCCTCATTGCTAATAGAGTTAAGGATTAAAAGTAAACAAAGCATTTATTCCATGTTTAATTACATTCGGTGTATATTCAAATGCAAATTACTTCATTAAAAAAAGGAAACAAAAATAAATAGGTCGCTCTCGTCTGTAGATTATGCGGTCTTGTCCACCCAAGAAGGCAGTAGTAGAGTAACCCCAGTTCTGGGCACCGAGTCAACCAAAAGGAGCACATTTACATCTTTTTATATAAGAAAATGTATTTTTATTCACTGTTGGCCGTAATGTTCCAATATAGCAAATTAATTTACCTTGCGTTGGAACATGTGTACTAGCGTAACTAATTATTCATAAGTATATTTCGTTCAGATAGAATATTTCATTTGTATACAGCATACAATTAAATTAGGAAATGTAAATTTGTAATAATATAAAATATATCTTTATTTAACTCATAATATATCTGAAATCTTTAAATTATGTAGGTTAATACGATTGAAAGTTTAAAATCATGCTGTTTAGAAGCATTTGCGATGAACAATGCTGGGGCCGGACTCGTCGTACTCCTCCTTGGTGATCCACATGGTCTGGAAGGTGGAGAGAGATCCTAGGATGGAGCCACCGATCCAGACGGAGTACTTACGCTCGGGAGGAGCAATGATCTTGATCTTGATGGTAGCTGGAGCCAAGTTGGTGATTTCCTTCTGCATGCGGTCAGCAATACCAGGGTACATGGTGGTACCACCAGACATGACAATGTTAGCGAAGAGATCCTTCCTGATGTCAATGTCGCACCTCATGATGGAGCTGTGGACGGTCTCGTGAACACCAGCAGATTCCATACCCAGGAAGGAAGGCTGGAAGAGAGCTTCAGGAGCACGGAAACGCTCGTTGCCGATGGTGATGACTTGACCGTCGGGGAGCTCGTAGGACTTGTCCAGGGAGGAGGAAGCGGCAGCAACATTCATTTCACTGTCATAATCAAGAGCAACATAGCCAAGCTTCTCCTTGATGTCACGGACAATCTCACGCTCAGCGGTGGTGGTGAAGGAGTAGCCACGCTCAGTCATGATCTTCATGAGATAGTTGGTCAGGTCACGACCAGCAAGGTCAAGACGAAGGATGGCATGAGGAAGGGCGAAACCTTCATATACAGGCACAGTGTGAGAGACACCATCACCAGAGTCGCACACCAGACCTGTGGTACGACCAGAGGCGTACAGGGACAGCACAGCCTGGATAGCAACATAAGCTGCAGGAGTATTAAAGTTTTCAAACATGATCTGTGTCATCTTCTCACGGTTGGCCTTGGGGTTGAGAGGAGCTTCAGTCAGCATTGTTGGGGACTCCTCAGGGGCGATACGGAGCTCATTGTAGAAGGTGTGATACCAGATCTTCTCCATGTCGTCCCAGTTGGTGATGATGCCGTGCTCTACAGGGTATTTGAGTGTGAGAATACCACGTTTACTTTGGGCCTCATCACCGACGTAGGCGTCCTTCTGACCCATGCCGACCATCACACCCTGGTGACGAGCTCGGCCGACGATGGAGGGGAAGACGGAGCGGGGAGCGTCGTCACCGGCAAAGCCGGCCTTGACCATGCCGGAGCCATTGTCGACCACTAGGGCAGCCAGTTCCTCGTCGTCGCACATGGTTATTGTGTAAGGATTCCCCTAGATGAAAACTGTAAATCGACATGTAAACTTTAAATATTATCTTATAAAAAGCGAAGTCCTACATAAATTATTATTAATTTTCGCATAATGTATATTAATTTGATGACTTTTAAAGGATTCTTTGTGTTGATGCAGTCCAGAGTTAATTTGTTTTTTGGACATGAGACGGGATATAAAAGTTGAATATTCCCTTTCGTAATTATTACACTCAAGATTTTTAACATATAATTTCCTTATCTAGTGATAGACAACAATATGCTTCACTGTATATATAACAACTAATCCCCCTGTTTAGGGGGATTAGGATGGTCCACATAAGTAACGATGTGGACCATCGTACATATATTGATGTAATGCACAATTAGAAAGTAAAATTTGGTTCTATGGAATTTGGACAAACCGGAAACATTTTTGTAATTATGTTGCTAATAAAATCTAACCTCACCTCTTCTGGCCATCCCAGGTCTAATACACGCCACCTGAGGCAAAATATAGTATGTATATATATATATATATATATATATATATATATATATATATATATATATATATATATATATATATATATATATATATATATATATATATATATATATATATATATATATATATATATATATATATATATATATATATATATATATATATATATATATATATATATATATATATATATATATATATATATATATATATATATATATATATATATATATATATATATATATATATATATATATGTGTGTGTGTGTATATCACGAAAATAAACACGTGATTAAAAATGTGACAATGTCAGACCACGGAGGAAAAATGAAACAGGAATTTCCTTAAGTACTTTCGTATATTAATACATCTTCAGAAGGAGTCAACTCCTTCTGAAGATGTATTAATATACGAAAGTACTTAAGGAAATTCCTGTTTCATTTTTTCTCCGTGGTCTGACATTGTCATATATATATATATATATATATATATATATATATATATATATATATATATATATATATATATATATATATATATATATATATATATATATATATGCTATACCAGGCCTAGTAATATTTAAGTAATATTTTTTTCCAGACTGTATAAAGTGAATAGTGCCAAGTTCTATTAATTGTCTATTATATCAGTATATTTCTAAAAGTACTATCTAAACAGGAGGATGGGATGATAAAAAAAAATTTATCTCAATATTTTGGTAATCAATAATAAATTATTTCGCTGATGAATGTCAGTTTTTATAAATCTAAAAAATAAAATTATTTATTTCCTACAATGCTGTTCACTTATACCTTGAATGTTTTTTTCTGAAAAAAGTTAATAAATAATTTCACTAAAACAGACCTAGGCTTGAACTTTAGGCTCCGCCAAATATGTTCCCAATTGAGCCCCGTAGCTCCTATTGCAGGCGCTGGTATACATTATTTTGTTAATGAAGAACGCTATACAGCATACAATTAAATTAGGAAATGTAAATTTGTAATAATATAAAATATATCTTTATTTAACTCATAACTTATCTGAAATCTTAAATCAAGATTATCAAATACCAATGGCACTGAATGACTTTGTGAAGAAAGAGCCTAATACAATGATTAGATTTCTTTGATTAAGTAATTAATCCCCTTAATGTGAATACCCTTTATCAGGTACAAATAATCTTCAAAATATTTACAAAGAACATATTTGAATTGGCCCAATAAGTACATAAATCTCTTAGAAACAAGCGTAACTCATCTTTATCATTTCTTATGTTGCTTTTGGAAACTTAAAAGTAAAGTTGTCGTTATATCGACAACTTCCGTATTCTTCAGATTTTGTCTTAGCAGAAGAAAATCTTTTAATGATTTAAGATTTGGTAAATCTTAACCAAGACCAACTCGTATCAACTCAAACATTAAATTCTGGCTAGGCCACCGATTGTTTGTGCCCGGAAACACAAAACTGTATATGTTGATAAAATAAGTTTTCAGGCCCTTTTGTGTGTCTACAGTAATGTTGGTATGTGTCTGTGTTTTTGAGTCGGTATGGGCATGCGTGAATGTTTTTTCATGGGGGAGGAAGGGCTGAGGTTAATGAGCTTGTAGGAGTTAATGCTTGAATATGCGTGCTTCTGTGTGTGTGTGTGTGTGTGTGTGTGTGTGTGTGTGTGTGCTTGCAAATTGGTGTGCATTTAGTTGTGTTGACGTGTACTACTAAAACACTATATTGTTTTTCGCCTACATAATCTGTAATGCCTATTGAGAGCATGTATACGCTTTTATACAATAAACACCCGAGGGACGTGCCACTTAGATACAGCCAGGCGTATCCATAAGCTTAAAGTATTCAATCTGTGTTCTTTGTCACAAAATAATTACCGTACATATGGGGGTAAATGCATCAGCCAAATGGCTAAGGGGGGCTGGTGATGCTCGGGCTAGGATGACAACGTTAATTAATAGCATCCCGTCCTGGGTTGGCCAGAGTAGGAAATGCTATCAGCAGTAACGGTGGCCAGAGCTTAGCAATAAAAAAAATGTCTTCAGTATTGCCTGGCACGTCTCACAGTCAGCTGGGGTTAAGGAATGACATTGTTCGTTTGTTGTAAATATTTTAACTGGCTTTGTTTAGTTTTCAACTGGATTTTTTAGGGGGAGGGGGGGGGGGCGAGTAACCTTGGTTACTTTATAAGTTAGTTACCCTTGTTAATAATTGGGTGTGGGGGAAAGTCAACGTAATGCGATGGTTGGTCTCTACATTAAGAAGATATATTTGGTCTCTTGAGAAGAATCCTGCCCTGATATGGCTACCCACGGCCCGAGCCTCTTGCTGAATCACTTGTGACAAAAGATTATTGATGTGTGTATTAGTGTGGGTGATTAAATATGTATGTGTATGTATACGTATATATATATATGTACATGTATGTATGAGTATGTGTACATGTATATATACCATTAATAATTTTGTAACTAGCGTCAAAATATTGTTATTTGCTTAGCTAAACGAACTAGAGGGTTCAGTTCCTGAACCGATTATGTGCCTCTGTAATCCTTTACACCACCGCCCACGGGATAGGTATGGGGTGCATAATAAAGAAAGAAATTGAATTGATGACCACCAAGCACCTTTACGTGTAATTTTGTCACCCCCTGCAGGTGTAGATGTGAGGATGGAGGTGAATGAAGAGAGTTTACACTTCTACTGCCCACCCACCCTCGACTAATACGGCACTTCACCTCATCTTACATGGTAATGTGTAATGTTGGTTCACCTAATTTGTATCCTCCTTCCCTCTGCCTCAGGAATTGTATATGTTTATCTCTCAGAATGTTTGGTAATATGTTTATTGTTTGTGATGTGTGTATATGTATGTATTAACACGATGTATTGAACGGGGTGAGAATAGCTTGAGCTACCTCATTCCTTTGTGTGTATTTTACCTCAATAAACTTATTTCAATTTCAATTTCCCTCTGCCTCCGAAGATGGTGACAACTTCAACGAAACGCATAAATATTATTGGTAAGCCCTTGTCTACACTACTTGTCATAACACTGACAACTCACTACTGACATGACACAAACACCGGAGGCAAACATAAACAGGATAAAACATCGGCAGCATATGGGACGCGGGAAATATAAGAATATAAGAAACCCAAATCAGGATTCCTTCAAGGCCATCTACACAACATTTGTTAAATTAATACTGGAATATGCAGCACCGACATGGAATCCGCACCTTATGAAGCATCAAATTAACATTGAAAATGCGCAAAGGTTTGCAACAAAATTGGTGCCAGAGTTAAGAGGGTTAGGCTACGAGGATAGGCTAATGGAACTAAATCTCACAACTCTAAAGGACAGAAGGAACAGAGATGATATGATCACGACATATTAGATAATAAAGGAAATAGAAAAGGTGGACAAGGATAATCCTCTTCAAATTCAGTGAAAGTAGGACAAGAGGAAACAAGTGGAAACTGGAAGTGAAAATGAGCCTCAGGAATGTAAGGCCGATGTAAGGCGTCTCCTACTTAAAGGCCTGGTCAGAGACTGGGCCGTGGAGACACTGATCCCCGAAATCATCAACAGGTACCCTGTACGGGTAGTCAACAAGTGGAATGCACCGAAAGAAGAAGTTGAGGAAGCCACCTCTACCCACAACCTTAAGACTAGGTCCAAGAGAGAACTTAAACGTCAGAACAGTTCAGTTATAACGCAAACACGTACAGCGAGGCAAGTAGGCGGGGCAGGAAGGTCTACACCTAACTCCCCGGTAAACACTGTTAGGTAAGACCTTAGGTAAACACCTTCCATCTACCACTTACGGGCTATTCATGCCCGTGCCACCTCTTGGGTGGCTTAATCCTTATCAATCAATCACCTTCCACATGTTACGACACTTCCCTCCACCTACCACTAGTCACGGCACTCTCCACCTACCAGTGTCACGGCACTCCCCCACCTACCAGTGTCACGGCACTCTCCCACCTACCAGTGTCACGCACTCCCCCATCTACCACTAGTCACGGCACTCTCCACCTACCAGTGTCACGGCACTCCCCACCTACCAGTGTCACGGCACTCCCCCACCTACCAGTGTCACGGCACTCCCCCACCTACCAGTGTCACGGCACTCCCCACCTACCAGTGTCACGGCACTCCCCCACCTACCACTAGTCACGGCACTCCCCACCTACCAGTGTCACGGCACTCCCCCACCTACCACTAGTCACGGCACTCCCCCACCTACCAGTGTCACGCACTCCCCCACCCACTACACTCCTTATGGTCACTTACAGGTCCTGGCCGAGAGGTGCGTGGAGAACACACTGACCGCAAGACCACTGTGCTTATTTATATATATTCCCAGCAACAGCGCTTGTGTGGGTGGGTTTAAATTCCTCGCTGGTGAAAACTTGCCAATGAATATCAAAATTTCTCGAGGATTATTGGCCAAGGACATTAACAACAAAGGAAGCGTCGGAACAATGTAATTTTAGAATTTGAACTGGATTATCAATATGGATTTTCTAGACACAATATTGACCCAGATTACCTACATTTGTCCAGTATTGGACCAAATAACATCATAATATATGTTTCGTAGTTCCTGCAAAAAAACTTATTTTTTTAGGGGATTTTTCTGTCATTGTTGTTCTGTATTCAAGAGTCACGAAGAATGATCTAATCATTCTTTGTGAATCGTTAATTTGCTCTGCATTGAAATGGAACAAATTAACTGGGGGCTCAAGAGGTGATAAAGAATCACCTGGGAATGTAGCTGAGATCCAAGAACTTCTCGTCAGCCTCGAGTCATGTAAATTGATACTGCGGCCTTCCTGCCAACCCCCCGCCACCCCAAGCCTCAGGTACTGGTTATTGCTAGTGGTCGGCACCCAGGAATATGGAGCATGGGTGGCTAGCCTTAGTTACTGGTTATAGTCACCCAGGAACACGGAGCATGGGTGGCTAGCCTTAGTTACTGGTTATAGTCACCCACGAACACGGAGCATGGGTGGCTAGCCTTAGTTACTGGTTATAGTCACCCACGAACACGGAGCATGGGCGGCTAGCCTTAGTTACTGGTTATAGTCACCCACGAACACGGAGCATGGGCGGCTAGCCTTAGTTACTGGTTACTGCTTGTGGTAGTCGCCCTAGGAACACAGAGCATGGGTGGCTAGCCTTAGTTACTGGTCACTGCTAGTGGTAATCACCCACGAACACGGAGCATGGGCGGCTAGCCTTAGTTACTGGTTACTGCTAGTGGTAGTCACCCAGGAACACGGAGCATGGGTGACTAGCCTTAGTTACTGGTCACTGCTGGTGGTAGTCGCCCCAGGAACACGGAGCATGGGTGGCTAGCCTTAGTTACTGGTTACTGCTGGTGGTAGTCGCCCCAGGAACACGGAGCATGGGTGGCTAGCCTTAGTTACTGGTTACTGCTAATGGTAGTCACCCAGGAACACGGAGCCTAGCATGCCATGGGTGAGGACGCTGCAAGAGAGGCTAACATGATATGCCTTTTTTTTATTTTTTGTTTAGGCGTTTGGATTTTTCTTTGTGGGGGGGGGGGGAGTTGCATTTTAGAGTTTTTACGTGGGTGTGTCATAGTTGGTGTTTTTTTAAATAGGGATTTGTATTTTCTACTTCATATTTTGACGTTTTATAGAGCGCGGCTCTTCAAACCTTTTTCCTCACGACCAAGTTTGATAATATCAAGTACCGTCACGACCCAAATGTGACACTACTTACATACATACATACATACATACATACATACATACATACATACATACATACATACTTACATACATACATACATACATACATACATACATACATACATACATACATACATACATACATACAAAAAATTCCACTATGAAACATATTTAATTTTATATTGCTTTTTCTAATAGATAATTTTAAGCTGGCAATTAAAGTGGTTGATTTTATTTTCATTTGAGGAGAATCTTTCAAGGTTTCTGTTGATTACTGAACTTACTTACATATGCCGTATGCCAAACTGTCCTAGAAAAGTGTAAATGCTATTTGGTAAATATTTCGTGAGTCTCCATATGTGATCAACGTGGTCATTTGTCCTTTGCTTCCAGTATTGATTAAAGTCTGTAGCTCAAATTATTTCAGCAAGATGTACATTGTTAATTATGCATTTACAAGCAACATTTTTATGGTTTAACCATAATAAGACAATTAAATGTTTTCCGTGGAAACTCGTTTTAATATGTTCAATATACTGTCCTGAGATAAATACAACTTTAATTTTTTACTGTTTATTAGGGTTCGGTTCGATCAAATATGCTATATGATACAAGAAATTTAGTTACAGATAATGTTACAATTTGATTACAATGTAATCTAGAAGCACTTGCGGTGGACGATGCCTGGGCCGGACTCATCGTACTCCTCCTTGGTGATCCACATGGTCTGGAAGGTGGACAGAGAGGCCAGGATGGAGCCACCGATCCAGACGGAGTACTTACGCTCGGGAGGAGCAATGATCTTGATCTTAATGGTAGCTGGAGCCAGAGCTGTGATTTCCTTCTGCATGCGGTCAGCAATACCAGGGTACATTGAAGTGCCACCTGAGAGTACATTGTTAGCGAATAAGTCCTTTCTGATATCAATGTCGCACCTCATGATGGAGTTGTAGACGGTCTCATGGATACCAACAGATTCCATACCCAGGAAGGAAGGCTGGAACAAGGACTCTGGGCAACGGAAACGTTCGTTACCGATGGTGATGACCTGACCATCAGGAAGTTCGTAGGATTTTTCCAGATTTGAAGAGGAGGAGGCAATATTCATCTCACTTTCAAAATCAAGTGCGACGTAACATAGCTTTTCCTTTATGTCACGAACAATTTCCCGTTCAGCAGTAGTCGTAAAGGAGTAGCCTCTCTCAGTGAGAATCTTCATCAGGTAGGCAGTCAAGTCCCGGCCAGCCAGGTCAAGCCGAAGGATAGCGTGGGGAAGAGCATAACCCTCGTAGATGGGGACAGTGTGGGACACTCCATCACCGGAGTCCAGCACGATACCTGTGGTACGACCAGAGGCGTACAGGGACAGCACGGCCTGGATGGCCACGTACATGGCAGGTGTAGCAAAGGTCTCGAACATGATCTGTGTCATCTTCTCACGGTTGGCCTTGGGGTTGAGAGGGGCTTCTGTTAACAAAACGGGGTGCTCTTCAGGAGCAATACGCAGCTCGTTGTAGAAGGAGTGATGCCAGATCTTCTCCATGTCGTCCCAGTTGGTGATGATGCCGTGCTCGATGGGGTACTTGAGAGTCAGGATACCTCTCTTGCTCTGGGCCTCATCACCGACGTAGGCGTCCTTCTGACCCATACCGACCATCACACCCTGGTGACGAGGACGGCCGACGATGGAGGGGAAGACGGCGCGGGGAGCGTCGTCACCAGCGAAGCCGGCCTTGACCATGCCGGAGCCATTGTCCATAACAAGAGCTGTGGTGTCAACATCGTCGGACATTCTGTCTAGAAGTTTTTAAAGATCTGAAAAATGTAGAATTGTTGTAAATAAATCGTTTAATTATTAGAATTAAATGCATGCCACGTAATTTTATTTATATGTATAGCAAATACAAAATTATTAACAATATTATTATTATATTATGTCTATAGTCAATATGCCGACAATTTCTGTCCCTGCAGAATTAACTTGGCAATTATGTTTTAGATACCATATAGAAACCACACTGTGCTTTGGCAATCAATATTTTAAGCTCAGAATGCATGCTTATCTCATTTGTTAAGAGCAACATAGCCTAGTAAAGAACATTTGAATCCTCATCTTTTGACTGAGTTAGTAGGCTATATTAGCATAAGAGAGCGAGATGTCTGAGTATCAGCCAATAAATTCAGCAAACTTAGCTGTTCCTACTGCATGGCTTTAGCTAGGCTATATGTTGACGTTGCAGGCGATGAGTCGCATATACGTGGCTGAAGTAGTTTGACCAGACCACACACTAGAAGGTGAAGGGACGACGACGTTTCGGTCCGTCCTGGAACGTCGTCGTCCCTTCACCTTCTAGTGTGTTGTCTGGTCAAACGTTGACGTTCATTTGCATCACCTGCAGATTAGATATGACCCAATATACACTCTCAGCAACACTACTTTCACTTCCCATATCACTTTGTAAATGAATCTGAAAAATCAACCTGTTATCTTAAAATGATTGTACCTATAGCAACTGTGGATACACTGTACACAATGTGGGCTCTTGAACTCATGTTATATTCTTCGATAGTATAGAATTTTGTGAATTAATAGCAAAAGGTTCTTGGGTAGATGTGATTTAATATTGCAGTTTACATAACGAAGAGAATAACAATGGAATCTGAGAATGTCAGAAATATTTGTACATCCATCTAAAAAAATAATAAAAAAATAGAGTTGCAAGTCAGGGTTTATTTAGAGGTATAGAGATTTATCAGCGTAAATATCCCAAGGAAATGTATATATGTGTATTTATTTATTTATTTATTTTTATTTATTTGTATTTATTTTTATTTATTTATTTACTTATATACAAGAAGGTACATTGGAGTTAAAAGAGTACATAGTAATGATGATGATTCATTTACATTCTTGTAAAGCCACTAACACGCATAGTATTTCGGACAAGTCCTTAATTTAACAGATAATTTTAAGTAGATAATTTCCAGATCTTTTTAACTACATAGCGAGTACCTACCTACACAGCGAGTTCGGAACCTCAGGACTACGGATTCGTAGTCCTGAGGTTCTGGGTTCGATCCCCGGTGGAGGCGGAGACAAATGGGCAAAATGTTTCTTTCACCCTGATGCTCCTGTTACCTAGCAGTAAATAGGTACCTGGGAGTTAGCTGCTACGGGCTGCTTCCTGTGGGGGGGGGGGGTGCAACAAAAAGGAGGGCTGCTTCCTGGAGGGGGGGGGGGGTGTAACAAAAAGGAGGCATGGTCGAGGACCGGGCCGCAGGGACGCTAATCCCCGAAATCATCTCAAGACAACCCCAAAATAGATTAATATACAATAATGACAAGGATTACTAGTTACATTAGGGTAAAATTTCAGGGTTATCAATTGGTTCATTGTAGCACAATTTGAGGATCATTTCAAGGAATAATACAGTAGAATATGCATTCAATATAACATTCATAATTTTCAAGAGGAAACTAGATTTATTCCTCCAAGGTGTGCCGGACCAACCGGGCTGTGGTGGGTATGTGGGCCTGCGGGCCGCTCCAAGCAACAGCCTGGTGGACCAAACTCTCACAAGTCAAGCCTGGCCTCGGGCCGGGCTTGGGGAGTAGAAGAACTCCCAGAACCCCATCAACCAGGTATATGTGGGCCTGCGGGCCGCTCCAAGCAACAGCCTGGTGGACCAAACTCTCACAAGTCAAGCCTGGCCTCGGGCCGGGCTTGGGGAGTAGAAGAACTCCCAGAACCCCATCAACCAGGTATCAACCAGGTAACCATGATATCAATGATTACAATGTACATATATTAGGGGATTGGGATTAGATACAGAGCGAGTTAAAGCACTAGGTAAGAAACTATGAAGGTGAAATTAGATACGTTTTGGTTTTGCTTTTGAATAAGGAAAAAGTTGGACAGCTTTTCCATTCGTTAGGGAGTGAGTGCCATAGACCAGGTCCCTTTATTTGCTTGGAGTGTTGGACAGCTGAGTCAAACCTAACACAGATTAGGTTTGACTCTGGGGGATATCAAAGATATTTATGTGTGATGTGGTGATTTTGTGTTCTATTACATCTGTTCAGGAAGAGTTTCAGAACAAGGTTTGCACCTAAGAAAGGGGTTTTGTAAATGTAATTGTGTGTGGAGTGAATTTATGTTTAGCATGTTTAGGGATTTAAACAGAGGAGCTGTGTGTTGTCTGAAAGCAGAGTTTGTTATTGTTCTGATAGCAGATTTTTGCTGGGTGATGATGGGCTTAAGGTACTTTGCAGAGGTTGAACCCCATGCACAGATACCATATGTAAGATGGGGATAGATAAGTGCATAATATAGTGAGAGGATAGCAGAGTAAGGTACATAGACTTAGTTAATATGTGATTTTAGAGAGTATACCAACTGTTTTAGAGACTTAGTTATATGTTGTATGTGGGTGCTAAAGATGAGTCTCTTGTCTAAGTATAGGCCAAGGAACTTTTCATCATTTTTATTGCTGTTGTGGGGGTCGATCTCGAACCCATTGTTGATGTGACGACTTATACTGAATTTTGTAACTAGTTCATCAAGATTGTAACTTACTTAGCTAAATTGTGGGGTTCAGTCCCTGAGCCCATTATGTGCCTCTGTAACCCTTTCCACTACCGCCCACAAGATGGGTATGGGGCGCATAATAAATAAATTAAGCTGAATCTGATGTTAACATTGTCTATCTAAAGCTGAATTGCATTTGTTGATTTGTTCAATTTCTAAATTTCTTTCTTTATTATGCACCCCATACCCATCCCGTGGGCGGTGGTGTAAAGGGTTACAGAGGCACATAATAGGTTCAGGAACTGAACCCTCTAATTACAAAAGAAGAAACTATTATCCACAGTCCACCATTGTAACGGTCTTTTTTGTTTAACACTTTCTTTAAAAGAGATTGATGAGAGAAAATGAGATTAAAACGGTAGCTTAACTGTTTTCTCACCTGGCAGAATGCAGGGGGGGGGGGGATACCGTTGATGGGGAGTGGAAGCCTCTTATGATTGTTGAAACCTCCATAGCCAGGCTGGGCACGACTCATATGTCAGCCGTGTCATAACCTGTCAGCCGCCCATAACCTGACTGCTGGGCTGTACTGATATATTGTCCGCTATGTAGTTGAATTGAAAGTGAAATTGAAATAAGTTTATTGAGGTAAAATACACACAAAGGGATGAGGTAGCTCAAGCTATTCTCACCCCGTTCAGTACATCGTGTTAATATATACATATACACACATTACAAGTAATAAACATATTACCAAACACCCGCTATGTAGTGAAATTGAAATAAGGTTATTGAGGTAAAATACACACAAAGGGATGATGTAGCTCAAGCTATTCTCACCCCGTTCAGTACAACGTGTTCATACATACATATAGACACACATCACAAACAATAAACATATTGCCGAACATTCTGAGAGATAACCATTTAATTCCTTTTTTTCGGAAACAGGAAACCTGTGTATATAATAATTCAATATATATAATATAGTAATATATATACGTTAGGCTTGTATCTAGGCCCCCCCCCCTCTCCAAGTTGTAACTACTGACCTTCCCCCAGGATGAAACCTCACAAAAGTTACCTAACTACCGGGTACCTATTTACTGATGGTGAACAGCGGCATCAGGTTAAAGGATACGTGCTCAACTATTTCTAAGATTGTAACTTGCTTAGCTAAATGAGTTGCGGGGTTCAGTCCCTGAGCCCCTATGTGCCTCTGTAACCCTTTCCACTACCGCCCACACGATGGGTATGGGATGCATAATAAATGAACTAAACTAAACTGTCCCACCCCAACCCGTCCTCGACTCATGTCCATTACATTCAGCGGTCAACCTCACAGATGCATTCATATATTTTAACATGCTGTTCATTCAAAACGGGAATTTTCTCAAGTATAAATTAATATTATAAAATATTAGCATATTGTGTATAAATAGGCATAGGTTAGGTGTTTAGGTTCTGTTGGTGATTATTGTATTTGTATTACGTGGGTGAAGCATTTACAGCGTTGTGGTTCGAACAAAATTCGTCAGTGAAGCACTTGTTCCGGATATGTTCGAACGTCAGCAGTTGTGAGTCGTGTGTAAACCGCTTTTCATTCATAAACAGGGGGTTTGGCGGGTGCATGGAATCACTTTTGGATCTTTGTTTGGAGGACGGGCTGAACGACCAAGGGTTTTGTAATACAGTTTGCTTCGTTCTCGACTCACAATCGGGTTCGATTCCCTGACGGGACAGAAATTCTTGGACATGTTTCTTTTCACCTGTTTCCACTGTTTACAAGGCTTTAAACAGGTACCCAGGAGTCGGTGAAGTGTTGTGGAGTTACATCCAGATTTTATTATTATTATTATTTTCTACCACAGACGTGGCCACATAATAACAAAGCTAACCAGCATATATACAGTTTCTTCTGTCCTCCATGGACAGGGTTAAAGATTTGTTAAACATATAGTTCAGGGATTTGTTGAAGAATCAACCACAGAAGGTGATTGTAGTGCTTTTAAAATGCTAGGCTGAGTTACGTCCGGTGGCAGGTCAGTAGCAGTATAGCTCTATCTATAAATTCATCAATGTTTGTATCACCCCTTGACTGTATGTACTTTACCTGAATAAACATTTGAATTTGAATTTGAGTAGTGGGCCTGAGGCCGGACCTCGTTGGGCTTAAGTATAGCTGACTTTCTCTCCCCGACATCGAGAATTATAATAATTCCTCACCGTCGCTGTTGTTATAGATTCAGCTACTTGGAACAAGTTCCAAGTAGCACGG